AACTGATTCGGTTGAGCCGCAACTCTGATATTATAGTGCTGGCAGGTGATTTTAACGCGCGGGTTAGAAAACTGAGCTCACCCGAAGCCTGTTTAGGAGGGCACTTCGTCCCCACCCCCGCCCAGCGAATAGACAACGGTGATCGACTACTTCAGTTCTGCGTCGACCACCGCCTGTTCTCATCTAGCACCAACTTTCGACACAGCTCTCGTCGAACGGCTACATAGTTTTCTAGTTCAACGAGCACATGGACCCAAATTGACCACGAAGCTGTAAGCTAACGTTGGTGCGGCTCAGTACAAAATTGCAGATCCTATTGGTCTACGTGCTTTGAGTCGGATCATGCACTAGATCTGCTACGCTTCGCTCTTCGACTCATAGGTCATCGGCAGAAATCGCCTGCTCAAGTAGCTCACCATTGTCTGCGCGATCCAGTTGTCTGCGCACGTTATGAGAAGCTGGGACAGGAGTTAGGAAAACCGCGACATAGTGGAGTAGACCAACAGTGGGATCAGATTAGATTTGCGATGCACTCAGCTGCAAACTTTCCTTGTGGGACTGAACTCGAAGCTCACCAAAGGCATTGGATCTCTTAGGAGTTAGTAATCCTAATGGATCAAATGCGAAAGATCCCAATCTGCCAGGATCAGCATAAGGACCGGTGTCATCTGCAACGTCAACTCAGAAATAGCCTTAGGAAAGATCGTGAAAATTGGTGGGCCGAAATAGCTAGTGAGATGGAGGTATTTTCTGCATCAGGGAATATTCAAAGACTATTTCACCTGATACGCAGCACTGGAGGTCGTCGGAAGTACTACGCTGCATTCAATCACTGAAGAAAGGAAAGGCTGCGTGATCTGATGGGCTTCTCCCTATTCTTTTCAAGGTGGGCGGGGATTCACTTGTCAACTCAATTTCTAGCTTACTTCGCAGCACTTGGACGGAAGAGCGTATCCCTTTGTCCTGGGGTGAATCGTTGATCGTCCCAATCTTCAAAAAGGAATCACGCAACGACTGCGCTAACCACCGTGCGATTAGTTTAGTTCCGATAATCACAAAAGTGTTGACTTTTGTGATACTTCGCCGCATGACACCCTTAAAGGAGGGGAATATCCGCGAACAACAAGCCGGATTCCGACCAGGTCGCGGGTGCATTGATCAAATCTTCACTCTGCGTCAAGTCCTCGAACTGCGTCACACACATCGTCGGCCAACAATCTCAGTGTTCCTTGACNCTGACACCCTTAAGGGAGAGGAATATCCGCGAACAACAAGCTGGATTCCGCCCAGGTCGCGGGTGCGTCAAGTCCTCGAACTGCGTCAAACACATCGTCGGCCAACAATCTCAGTGTTCCTTGACCTAAAAGGAGCCTTCGATTCAGTTGACCGTGAAGCTCGTCTGGGGTCGCTGCTCCGCATAGGAATGCCGCGGAGGTGTGTAAACCTATTGCGGTCGCTGTACCTGCATACTTCTGGTAACGTAAAGGTCTACGGTGGGGTAAGTAAATCGTTTGAAACCAGGAACG